TCACAAACGGCTGGTTTGGGGGAAGTGGCTCCGGCTCCCAGTCCCACCCCAGCAGCAGGCTCCGGCAGGAGGAACGCACCAAGCTTGAGCAGCGGGGACTACCGGGGCGATCCTTTCATTGCCTAGATTTAATGAACAGAGCTTTGTCTAAACAGGAATAACTTAACAGACTTGCTTCAAGAGTTGAAAGGGCTCCAGATTTAACTAATGAGGCTAAAAGCAACACACAGCATCAGAGAGTCTACAGGCAGCAGGAGCCACTCCCAAGTTAGAGGCCAGAGGACGAGGAGGTACCGGAGCTGAGAGGCTGTTGGTACCATTCTGCAATGGGTTTGAGCCGCTCTAAATCCATGCATCTGCAGAGAGGGCTGGCCCTTGCCTTCCTCCTCAAACCCTCCCCCAAACTGAGTTTCCAGCTCCAGCAGTTGAACTGGCTAAGCCCAAATCAGACTTTGGTTGGCACAAGCCAAGCATGAAACCGTCATCCTGGGTCAGAATCAGCTGGAGCAGAGCATCCCCCTGCACAGCAGCGAAGGGGCAGCTACTGAAGCATCCCCGTGGCCAGAGCTGCGAGGACAGCACAGCGCGCCCACCCCAACCCACCCTTAGGAAACCACTCCCATGAATAAGAGTAAAAACGAGCAAAAGATCAACACATTGGAACCGAAGAAGGGCCTGGATGCATGGCCTTTGTACCCCAGCGAACACCCACCCCACCCCAAGAGCAGTTTTTCTCTGCCACCCAGGTGCACCCTCCACATCCGAGGCGCGTGGTTCCCACCCTGCGCCCCTTGCCAAAGCCTGGGCAGAGCAGCTCCTTCCCTGCGTTACCAGCTGCTCAAAGGCTCACCACAGCCGCGTCTCCCACCCGGAACTCGCCCTCCGGCTTGGACCGCCGCTCCCAGCCCCACGCTGGGCTGTCCCGAGGGGATGCTTCGGGTCTGCTCCAGGAGCTGAGCCCTCTGGTAGCACCCAGGGAGGACATAGTCCTTCCCCAGCAAAGCCATGGACTGGAGGAGCAGAGAGCACCCAGCCCAACACAGTGAGAGTGAGAAGAGACACAGGGAACGTGTGTGGGGAATGCTAGAGAGGGCACGGCCATGGTGGTGGGCACCTGGAGCACTCGGCCTGAGATGTCAGAGCAGCAGCGATGCCGGATGGAGCCCGGGCAACACCCCAGGGCAACAGCAGACGCTTTGCACCTCGGCAGCTGGGACGGAGCAGGGCAGAGACCTGGGACGGCACCGCGAGGTGACGAACCATGGCTGACCGGAGATGGGTGCGGACAACAGGCATGGATGACGGGCATGGCCACCCCAGCGCCGGCCTGCTGCCCTGGGGACCCCTCGCATCCCACGGACAAAGTGCCAGCACCTCCGCGAGCAGCGCCGAGGAGCGGGTGCTGCGTTCCCGGTCCGATTCTGAAGCTCTGCTGCTGGTGCAGGGCTCACCGGGGACCCAGCCACCTGCATGGGGTTCACTGGGGACCTGGGTCTCTGAAGGGGGCTCACCGGGGATCCAGCCATCTCCACGGGGTTCATGGGGACCCGGCCACCTGCATGGGATCCTCTGGGGACCTGGGTCTCTGCAGGGGGCTCACCTGGGACCCGGCCACCTGAGTCTCTGCAGTGGGCTCACCGGGGACCCGGCCATCTCCACGGGGCTCACGGGGGACCCAGCCATCTGCATGGGGTTCACCGGGGACCCGGCTCCCGGGCTCGCAGCCCAACTCCAGCGACCGGCGGCACCGTGGCGGGAGGCAGGG